TGCCAACTGTCTCTCAGTGGATCAGACAGCTAACATCAGCACTGTGGGTTCTGCCACCAGTCCTCCTTTAATTCCCACTGAGTCTTTTTCCAACATACTTTCTCTATTTGGGATTTCTTTCACCACCCTCTCTCACTTTCTACACACACACATTTGCAAACCCGGCTCACTGTCTCTATTTTTAATCACTTAAAGTTATCCGTCTTTATTATTTATTCATGCCATATTTTTCCTTAAATCACACAGAATATATACAAGAAAAATCAGACACCGACACCCACACACATTCCTGCATGCAGCTCGTACAAACACACAGATTTGTCGGTGTGTTTACACAGCTCACTAAGCAGCTAATCTTTATGGCACTGCTGACTGAAGCCTGTCTTTTGTATTGAAAGGCCTTTAAAAAAACAGTCAGGTGACTAATCAGGCCACATTGCAACAGCTTCAGTGCTGCAATAAGCCGCCTGGCCTCTCCTGGCCAGGTGGTGCCAGGGAAAGTACTGGTGACATCACTGTAAAGGTCTCAACAAAGACAAAGCATTCTTCACTCAATCGCAATCCACTTTGTTAATATTCAGCCCGACTTCGACAGGACAAAACCAAAAGAGGCTTTTCTCTTTCGCCACTTGTTCCCTGCTTCAGCCTCTCTTAGGGCTTGTTTCTTACTCACAAACAAACACCTTCATGACCTCCAAATAGAACACGCATCTGTGCGTGTCAGGATGTGTGAACTGATTTGACAATACACCACTTGACAATGTATTATTTTTCCAGGAACTCCCACACGATATGTCTTCTGCTTTTGTCACATGACTTGACTTGAATGAACGTTTCTCAATTGGCTCTAAGATGTCATCGTATTAACCATAAATAATGTTACCCTTCTGCTCTTTGATCTATTTTGAAAAATCATTACATTTCAAGGATTTCCCCAAATGTGTCACTTTTAAGTCTGCCTTTGGTACTCAATATTCTGTCATTTTTCTTAAACTCAATTTTCAAATCAGATCAAAAATAACCTGGCCCTATCAAATCTAATTCTTGAAGGCAAGTAAAACAGAGTAAACTGTTTTTTGCATTGTATACAAGAATTTGAGAGTTTAGCCATGTTAGCATTGTCAATGTGAGCCTATTAACAGGCTGACACATTTAGCTCTAAGCACACAGAGCTGTTACTCTGGCTGTCCCCTTTCCTGTTTCATTCATTTCCTCCCTCTAGTATTAAACCTGAAATAAGCAATTGTGTCGCCACTTGGAGGGCAGCTGACACGAGTTATAATATACCACTGTAATAATTATCACCCTTTAAGTTCGTATGACAAACATGCTACCAAACATGTGTCTATCTGTGTTCACGTCCAGCAGCTATGGAGCACCATTAGCACTCATTTGGAGTTTGTGACCATCTGGCAAATGTAAGCCTTATACTGTAGGCACTCCCTTTTTTGCTCTGGGTCCACAGGGATATAACCTCTCCTATTTGGCTGCTTAATGGTCCATTATAGGTGACTATGTTAAACAGGAAACATGTTAAACATCTGCATGTTAGAATTGGGGACACTTAGATTGTGAGTGAAGCAAAATATAGGACACGTGTAGGGCCTTTAATCCAATACATGAGCTAAAAGAGGCTAAAACGCTCCGTCTGGGGAACTGCAGAGTCAGGTGATAATATAATTAAGATTGATGTTCACATACAAGCACTCATGTGATCTTTTGTTACAGTAATAGATGAGTTCAATCCATTTGTTGGAGTCATTTAAAACCCCACACATGTGTATGTGTTTTTACACTCCTCTGTGTGTGACTGTATGCGTGAGAAGTGTTCTGGATAAATGTCATGCTCCAATACTCCATAGATGATAGACACATAAACAAAGTCATCAACTTCTGTGTCAGGCTGCAGCCCCCCCCCCCCCCCCCCCCCCCCCCCCATCTCAGCACAGCATTCACACTGTGACTGTTCACTTGCGACAGTAAACAGGCCGCTGTGACCCTCTGGCTGTTGTTGTGTTTGTTATTGAGAGCTCTCACATAAAAGGATGTACCGAGGGGTCCAATCATATTAACACCTTTTTACAAGTTGTACTTATGTGTTTTAAATCCATATAAATGGCACATCCTGGTAGATAAATTAATAATCATTTTGAAGTTCCACATGTCTTATCTCAAACAAAGACATCAGGTCAAGAAAGTGGATCAATTTTACACATTTCCTGTCCTGTTTCCTGCTAAGAATACAGCCTGAATGTCACTGAAATGCATTTTTCTTCTAATTTTACAAAATCTAATTTAAATCAATTATAATAAATCGTCAGTCAGAGTACATTGCAATAAGGGACTTTTTTGAGGTTTTTAATGAAAATCACTTAATGGCTTATGTGCTGCATTTAGTTTGTTCAGCTCCTTGTAGTTGATGGCTTTTTTTCAACCTTCCTTAACAGCAAGCGAAACAATACCCAGCAGGCGTCACAAGATAAGTTACTGACGCTCAGGAAGGTTTCCCTTCCTTTTATTTTGTTGCCTTTTCCTCTGCAGGTCAAACTCTCCGACTCACCACCATCTGCTGTACACAAACATAAATACACACATATACAAACACACTTAGGACCATCGCTCTACTCCAACACAGGATATGCAAATCACTCCTTAGCAACTAACTTCATCTGTAAAGACATAAACATTCTCCCTAAAAATACAGACGATAAATTGCACAACTTTGCAGTGATAATTGTTATTGCACAAGTCTACTATCTGAACTAATCAACCCAGTGGACATAAATACTGACTTGCTCAGGATAAGCCTGCAAATAACTCAATCATACACTTCCTGTTTTTGAGCACGTATTTGGTGACCTCAGGAGGAGCACAGGATGTGCTCCAAGTGGAAGATACAGATAGAGATTTCCTAGAGTTTTAGTTGAGATACATGCTTAACTTTGAGTGGATGGGATGCAGCTGTTATGAAACTGGATGTTGTATTGTTTGTTCCAGATTAAAATGATTGTTTGTGCATGTTTTTTAATATGTGATTTATTCACTTCTTCTTTTAAGCTCCAAACACACTGATAACTTTTCTTTTTTTCGCACTCTTTCCCTTTTTTAGAGTATGGGATTACCGAGGATGCACTGAGCAGTGTACTATGAGTAAACAACACAGTGGTGTAAGAACTCTCACATCAGGGTTTTTATCAGATGTTTAGCTGGGAAACTGAGGTCATCTCTCATTTATAGATACTCTAATGAAAAACAGCATTCCTCACATGGCCAATTCACAGTTTTTATTTACATTCACCGAGGCATCGTGTCATACTAACTGACACATTCATTATAACAATGTAACCTCCCCTATGTTCCCCACCCCTCACTATCATGACTTTGGTCACAAGATATTTAACCAGTCTTCATGACATTTCATAACACATGTTTTTCTAAACTGGTGACTGACTGAGACAGACATTTACTCTACGTGTCCGGTTATTGCTCAATTCTTTTTCGTCATGAAACTGTCTGACTCAGTGGCTTGCATCGTATTTATTTATACTAGTTCTTTGGCTCCATTTGTTTATTTGTTGGTTTGTTTGGCTAATTATCCTGACATGGTCTAGTGTAGGTTTTCCCAAATAACTTCCGCTTTCTCCTCCCTAGACAGACAGGCTTCAGAGTCAGACCCACTTCAGATAAGATTTTGTCAGCAGGAACCACATTTGAGAGGATGTTTGCTGTTTGATATAGTCTAATACAAACAGTGGAATAATGTTATAGTGTCACTGAATAGCCGCTGACCTCCTCTATATATACTGTAGAGTTCTTAAAGTGCAAAAACCCAGAAAGTGTCTTCACTCTGGGAAACTCTTTGTATTTGTTGTATTCTAACAAGTATTTGTGGGAAATCAAGTGCTTCATCCTGTTGCACATGAGTTGGTTATTACTAGTTAGTCACATATTGCATAGGCTAGTTAATGGCTATAGTTGTTGGAGTGAGTTACTGATTACTCAATGTACCTCAAGCACCATTACAATGTTAAAGAAATCTGTGCTTCAATGTACAATCCACAGAAATAGTTGCAACCTGTTAAAGCACAATGAAATGTGGTTTTGTTTCACATTTAAAACTAGTGGTGGGAAGTACGTTTGCTAGAGTCTATTTAGAGGTACTTGTACTTCACTTAAGTAATAACCTTTCTGCTACTTTAAACTTATTTATTCCTCTACATTTAATTTCAAACTTAAGTTACTTTTCAGATTCAGATTAATAATAGAAAACGTATTCCAAAAATAAATTGTCTTGCATTTTTACAGTTTTATACAAAAAATTGTTGTTTGGTCTCCTTGTCTATTCAGTAATTGGTCTTTTGGATATAAAGTGCATATTTAATTCATGCTTAAATATGTTTGGACTTAAATACGTATAATTGTGATTGCATTGTACGTATTAATTATGATGTTTTGAAATATTACTGCTGCAATAATGTGTATGTTGCATGTACTGCAGTAAATGTTTAAGAATGCTGATTTTAACTGCTTTATATACTGAGTGGTGGTTAAATCTACAGCATTTGCTGCTTCTTCTATAAAATCGAAGTCTACTTTTAGAGCTCGGAAAAAGCCCTGGTTTCTGCTTCGGGGTGATGCCTTTTCCAGCTAATGCAAGAGCCTTTCTAGATTGCTTATTTAGTAATGGGTGAATGTTGTTAAAACATAAAGGAACAATTATAATGAAGTGTATCAGGTAAAAAATATTCAAAAGGAACACATTTTAAGGTGCATGGCTTTCATCGGGCATCTGTCAAAAAATATAGTGGAGTAAAAAGTCACTTACCTGCGTATATTTGGGCCAAAGGCTACTTAGTTACTTACACAACTGGTGGTATTGTTAGTTTTGCCAAAGAGTACTTCTAACTTTGTTGAGAAGCTCATTAATATTCAAGGTGCAGCGATGTGATTTGCTGATGGAAACTCTGTCTCTGACGTCGCACGAGCTCTAGGGCAAAAAAAAAAGTCAGCGGTGGTGCTCAGACCGTGTCTCTCTGAGCTCCCAGAAAAACTGTTTAAAGTTTTGTCAGTGCCGAGTAAACTCATGAAAGAAACCCGGCGACGGATAGCTTCAAAGCTGGACTTGTGTTGTTGTTTAGTTTTTTTACTATAATTGTGCTTTTTAGAGACTTTAAACTGCTTGGTTTGTAACGCGAAGTCGCCGCCGGGATTTCCTCTCATCTCGAAGTTCCCAAGATGAAGTTAGAACCGGTGGTCGGGAAACTTTATGTAAGTAAACACGACAATACACCCCTCTGAAAACTCACTGGTATGAATTTGTCTTCTTTTAAATGCCAATAATATGTCTTTAACTTGTATCGTTTTCTGTTGTACTCGCTTCACTTACAGTTGCATTATTTAGCGAATAATGCGATTAACATGTTGATTCAAATTGTAGCTGCGAAGTCAGAAGGGGTCTAATAAAATAAAAACCGACTGTCTCATTAAATAGACACTTAAGCCAGTACAACTTTGACTTTTGTTGGGAAGCTCTGCTGTTCACATGGGGGCACAAATCCCGGCCGGGCCTGTGAACTTGCTGAAGATGAAACAAGCCCCTGCATTGTCCCAAGAGCGCATACACAGGAAGCAACATTGTGTTTATTGTTGATTAAAGTGTTTATTTCTGTAGAGAATAGACTCATTTGGAGCTTATTGGCTCCTGTTACTGGTTTAAAGTAGCCTACATGTGCTGCAGTATTCATTCCCCCAGCTTTAATATTACAGCCACCATCTGTGTTGGACATCATGTGGTCATATTGTTCAGACATTGATGGCTGTGTGGGTCTGTCACGGCGGATGTAGCTGGCCCTATAGGCTAACTATTAATAAGTGCACTGCAGCTATGCCTGTGTGCAGTGAACTTTTGCTCTAGCTAGCTTTAAATCAAATTGTGTGAAGAGTGTGTTGAGAGGCACGGGTTACAGAGACATGTCTAAAGCTGTAGTCAGTTTGACCCTGGAAAAGCCAATAACTTACCTTGCCAGTTAGTCAATTAAAGTCACTAAGTTCTCTCAACAGTTTTTCCAGTCAGCTTTATTCCACTCTCAGTCCCTCACAGAGACGTCTTTTCATTCCTCGCCTGTTGTTTTTTCCATCTGTGTGCAGCACTAAAGCCTGACACTATAAATACTGTAATGTAAAGCCTCAAAGTGAGGCCAATTCATTAAAGGTTCTTTGGATTAATGCACAATATGTGATTACTTTTTATGTGGCAAGGTTCCCTTTTAATACTTTACAGTGTGAGATGGGAAATGAATCACAGTTCTAAATGATAGAGCAAATTAAGGCTTGGTCGCTTTTGTGGTTGATAAGAGCAGCAGTGTTAGCCAAGCTGCAATGTTGTGGCATTTCATCACATAATGCCTACTATATGTGTTAAAGCAAATGTAACATCTGCTGATGGGCCTGCAGCTTTAATGTTTGTTTTCTGAGTTGTCTGATCTGTGTTTTAAGTCAGGCAGTGTTCCATTACTGAAATCAGATTTACTTCTCCGGGTGGCAAAGTCAATGTTTATCTCTTCTGTAAACTACAGTACATTCTGGAGGCCTCGCCAGCAGGCCTTGTTGCTAAGGGACTTTGGAGAAACTTCGCCCCCCCTCCTATATCCACCCCCATTCCTCCCTCTCTAATCCCCCCCCACACCCCTTCAAATTGTGAGTGTACGTGCCTGGGCGTCCAGTAAACTTCCTGTCTAAGAGTACACAGATATGCTGATATTAGGGGCATCAATTTACTTCTGAGGATTGTCATGCCCATGCAAATGTTCACTAGATTGTTATCTGTGATTGCTTACTGTGGGTCTGGGTGTGGGTTCACACAGGAAATATCCCTCCATGTCTCTGTGGACAACACAGACAAGGGCAGGTCTGACATCTGGGACAAGTGGAGGCCAAGCTCTGTCTCTGGGGGCCGAGCAGTGGTCAACAAATGGGCCACTCTACTATAATACTGTAACTTTTGCTTATTGCTGCTTCGCTTGGTGACCATGTGAACAGTTGAAACGGAGCCTGTGGCTTAGAGAGGCTGCATACACACTGAATGATGCAATGTGGTGCAACAAACTCCCTGTCAGATACCAGGTGGTGGTGCCCCTTTTATGTTTGCCTGTCAGGGATTTATTCTCGAGAACGGACACACTGACTGATGTCTTATTGTTGGTGGATGAATTATTCTGAAGGAGCCTGCTGTTTCTGTCGGCATTATTAATGTGAATCATTGCACAGTTATCAAAGACCTGCTGACTCACTTAGGGAGTGCCACCTGTTCAGGTGCTGCCTTCACGTGTAATGCATACCAACAGGGCCAAGTCAGCGCTCACACATGAATGGTCCTGCTTCGAGATAAGTGGGGAGAATTTACGAATAAACAGATTAAGCCTGGTATGTTGTTAGACCCAAATAGCAACTAATTCACACACACTGAGAACCACTTTGAGACTCACAGCTCTCCCATGTGTACACAAGTCATCTGACGGGTCAAATCACATGACTTTACTATCCTCTTTGAGGACATTAAGGAAAAAGTTGTTTGCTGTTTGCTAAGGGCTGCAAAGCTATTTTTAATCTCTTTTTTATTATACCTGTTTTACAATGTTTTAATACAATAGTATAATTATCACTGGAGGGCATGTTATGACATGTATGTCCATATCAAGTGTTTGCTTCTTTGTTGTCTGTATAATAATATAGAAGTCTCTTTTATAAGTTGGTAGTACATTATGTGAAAGCATTTTATACATACTTTAGTTTAAAAAAAGAAAATCATACATCGTACATACAAGTAGTACAAAGTCACTATTACAAATCTGTAATGTTTTTCTCCCCAATTGCTGCTAAAGCAAATGTGGGCATTTTCAGAAGAGCTGAATCAATAAGTCAGTTCATCTTCAATTATTTTCATAATTGATTTATTTGCAGTCACTTTTGCAAATAATACCCCAGACATCTTCTGCTTGGTACCAACTTTCTCCATGTGAAGATTCGCTACGGTTCTGTTTTACGTCACTGAAAACTATATCTCTGGGTTTTGGAGAGTTGGTGGAAGACAATAAATATTTGCAGATGTCCCTTTGGGCTGTGAGAAATGTGAGTAATATATATTTTTAAACAATACATTTAATAGACTTAAATGGAAGTTTTTTTAATAGAACAAGAAATGTAAAGCACATTTGACCTCCTTTTTGACTAGTTGTAGACTTCACAAACACGCCTTTTATCAAGAAAGTAATCATTTGATTAAATTAAAAAAGAATGAAAATGCAGCCCTAATTTAGACTGTAAGAGCTGAAAAAGATTGCACTGCAATAAGAAATCCCTTTTTATTATCATTAATCAAGTAATGAATTAAGTGTCAGAAAGTAAGAAAGAAAACCTTTTATTTTCCAAAGCCCAAGTTGATATCTTTAAATTGCTTGTTTTTATTCAAATAACAGTCCAAAAATATTCAATATACTTCAATACAACACTAAAAAAATAGCGAATATTCAGATTAAGAAGTAGAAACATGATAATCTGGCATTCTTTGTTGAACTATTAATTCATTTTCAAAACAGTTGGTTATTAATAATCTGCAGATTGACTAAGCGACTAATCATTTAAAGCTCAATGCTGTAGTCATGTACAGCAGTGGCACCTTAAATGCTTCATAATACTAACCCCAGTGGCTTAAGGGTTATGCTCTGATTTCCTGCTCTCCTGGATGAATGAGCAGATTATAACACAAGTTTAAAAGTCTTAGAACAAACTCAACCTTTGTCCGGAGAATGGAGTTCTGTTTACAAAGACATAAATCCAACATGAATTCCAGCTATTGATGGTCACTTAAGTCCTTGTTGACCTGCTTCAGCAGCCACATATTCTACATTTTTGCTGTGATGTGTTTATAGAGAACTGCCGTCGCTCCATGCACTTCTTTCCCTTTTAACACAAAGACAAGCTTTAATGGAGCTAATGTGATTGTCTCCAGAGCGAGGTGATGGATTCCTGCACATACTTGAATCTATTAGTCATCCGTTCCTGCTCTTTTCATTCTCACCCTCCTGGGGTTGTCTTATGAGTCGCCGCTCAGCTTCTCTCTGAAGGTCCCTAATCACAATTTGAAAAGGCTAAGTTAAAAGCCCTGCTGCACACAAATCTCTAAATTCAATTTGTGGATTGACGTTACATTTCTCTGTCCCTGAACAATATGCCGTATGACTCACGGTGATGGTTGGCGCTTGTGTGAGCTCAGCAGCCAACCCTTTAGAAACCACACTAGAGACCAACTCGACCTCTCAACACAAACAAATTGGAAAGTGTGTGTCACGCTGCACCTGCTTACACCTTTTAAACCCTGAAAACTCTCCGAAGCCCTCTCTCTTTCACAACAAGATGTTCTTGTGGTCAAAATCAACGTCAGCTTCTCAGTCATTTCAGTAACTTGTGGTTCCCCGACGACAGTAAAGAAATTCATGACAACTGTCGTCATCACACATAATTGTTACGAAAGTAAATGTCAGCTAACCTGCTTTTGACACTGTCACACTCATGTAATCAGTGAAGCATATCTCCTGAGGAAACTCAAGAATTTGTGTCGTGGAGCTGCTGCTTCCCTGAGTTATAAATATCCAGCCGTAGCGGATATGTTGTGGGTCCAATCAGGTGGCGGGCCCGCTCTGAGGACGCTGCTGTGGAGGGAACAGTTTGGAGCTGAACCCCGCATGAAGCCTCTGTATTGTCTCGAGCTTCCTGTGCTCCCTGAGAGGAGGGGGCCGCTGCTTTTCACACGCTCCCACACATGCACTGTATCTGTGCTTGTGTAATATACGTGTGTGTGCGGTTGTTGTGGTTTAACAATGCCGTTTGCAAACTGTGAGCTCTTTCTTGCCTAACTGCTTCAAATTGACTTGGGAGTTATCCTCGTTCTTTTTATATTATTCCGCTTTCTTGTCTTGCATCTATGTTGTTGACTTATTTCTCTGTTTGACTTGCACCATTGTGTCTCTTGCACAACTTTATTTAGATTTCTTCTTGCACTTGATTGGATGTTGCATTGTTGGAGGAGCCTAGGATTTAAGATTGTTTTGCCAAAGCTATGTGTTAGCAATGGTGCATATGACAATAAATCCTTTCTCGAGTCTTATAATGATAAATGCATCCGAGCTAGGCTGAACTGAAGGATGGTTTAGTGCTGTAGCAAGTTTCAGACTTCTTCTCTTGACACTTGCTGGGTCGTACATTCCCTCATC